CGACGTCTGTCTGTTTTGTCTGAGACCGTACTCAAATATTCAATTTGTACGAAAAGGGATAAACAATATAGGTTTCTTTTTATAGTAACTCAGTACATTTATTTTAGTATATATCTTATATAAGATACTTAGTTCTTTAACGTACTAGCGACCCGCCGAATTTCACACGGTTTTTTGGAAATAAAATACATTCCATATATTAATATTTATTTATTCAATAACAATTGTATTGTATTGTATAATTTTTATTGTACACGAATTAATAACAATTTACTTAAATGTACTTAATTTAATAACAATCGTACAATTGTGTGTTGAAAGAAGTTATAATCTACACTAATATTGTAAAGAGGAAAGATTTGTATTTTTGTGTTATGTATGTTTGTAATGAATAAACCCAAAAACTACTTTGCCGATTTAAAAAATTCTTTCATCATTAGAAAGCTACATTCAGCCCGAGTAACATAAGCTATATATTTATTGCTAGAAAAGATTAGGGATCCTTACTAAAACTTTAGTAACGTAAATCAAGGTGTAAAAAAATGCTATAAAATATCTTTCGTCGCGTGCGCTGCGGAAACTAATGATGACAGAACAAAAGTATGTTCTACAATATTGAAGAAAATATTAATAATTACAAAAAACTTTACAATACTACATGTCCAACTATTATCGTTATGTCACAATAACCACTTTTTAAAATGTTTTAAAAATGTCCACCCGTGCGAAGCTACGGAGATGGGCCGCTAATATTTTATAAAAAAAATAATAATGAAATGAACAACAAGTTTAATTAGAAACATTTGAATAGCTTATAATTCAATTAAATTACTTTTTAAACGTATTATTATTAAATTCGTCCAAAATATAAAAACCTCCTTTCAGCGAAATAGCTCTAAGATTAATTTTAAAGGTATTGAAACTGTCAGTGCTTTCCTTATCCGTGAGTAACTTGTCGAATAATCTAATTGACTGGTACAAAGCACAATATTTTGCATTTCAACGTCTAGGATATAACGTATTCATTGCATTTTTCTCCTTATATTAAATCTGGTCTCTCCTTCCTCTTTATTTTACATACAAATTTAGATTTCTCCATACGTCAATTCTAAACAAATGTCTAAACCAAAATTATCTCTTCTTAACCTAGTATTTTAATTAGGGGGAAAGGGGCGAACTACCATTCCCATTGCTAGCAATATACTCTGTCAAATCGACCTCCATGTGGTCCCCTCCCTGGAAACCATCATGCTAAATTCTATGTGTATTCATCACGATGGACTAACTGACCTGCCTTTTCATGCTCACTTATTATCATAATATATATGTTTTTTTTTTTAATATTTGTTAATTTGATTCACTTATAATCCTATTTACTGATATTACTCACAACTCAGGTTACATGTACATTTCTATAACTAATAACGCAACTTTTAAAATATTTGTAGTCTAGTGTTATTTAATTCATTATAATGTTAAAGTAAATGCTGTGAATACCTTTAATAAGCATGTGCATTAATATTGTATTATATTTAATTTTTATTATATGTGTTATAATGCAATATGCTGTTGGTATTTTTTTTTTAAATAAATAAATAAATTATTGTTTTAAAATTGTAAAGTACATCGTAGATGTAAGATACACTGTCCCTAGAGTCATTGTGTGGCTTGCACAGAATAACAGCGCTGTGGCAGTAAATAGGTTTCATCAGGGTCCGTAACGCGCGCGTAATATCTGCATATTGCGCCTGCAATACCAGGGTTTTTTTTACAACACATGGGGCAAATGAGCATGCGGCTCACCTGATGGTAAGTGACTACCGCCGCCCATGATCACCCACAACACCAGCGGCATTGCAGGTGTGCTGCCGGCCTTTTAAAAAGAAATATACTCTTTTCTTGAAGGTTATGTTGTCGTATCGGTTCGAAAATACTGCTGCTGGAAGTTGATTCTAAAGAATGGTTGTGCGTGGAAGAAAGTGCCTTTAAAAAACGCACGGTGGAAGACCGCTACTCATCCAAATTATTGGGATGAAACTTTAGTTTGTAGCGGGTTGTACGGTGGTGAAAATCAGCAGTAGGTATCAATCCAAACAATTCCTCAGAACACTTCCCATGATAAATTCGGTAGAAGATGCACAGAGATGCAACATCTCTGCGCAGTTTCAGTGGGTCAAGTCGGACAGTAAAGCGTTGACTATCAGGTATTGCAGGCGTTCATAGACTACGGTAACCGCTTACCATCTAAGCTGTAAGCTTGTTTGCCACCTCAGTGGTATAAAAAAAAACTGCTATAGCATAACGCTGAATGCTGGCCACGTTGGCAACTAATTGTTACAAATTAATATTTATATTTTTATCTTTTTTGTTTTGTATATGCAACTAGTTGTCAAAAAAGTTTTTCTTTCTTTCTTTTTTACCTTATAGCAGTTTATGGGGAGGCCTGTTCAGCAGTGGAAAATAAACGGATAATTGAATATTTTAATCGTATCGTATGTAGGTACGTATTATAAAAATCTTATACGCATTTATTATAATGTATTCTCAGATTTCATTATTTTATACAGTCTTTTGAGGCTGTCATTTACCGAACGTCAATCTTAAACCCTTATCCAAAAATGTTAGAAGTCGAAAATCAACGGTAACAAAAAATGTTTTTTTGTTATACATACCTACCTATTATTGTATTATTTACATACTTATACCTTATAACATTTTAAGTAGACGACATCTGTACATAGGATATATTTAAGAAAAAAACTATATGTGGGTTTTTAATAAGAGCAGTGGAAGCCTAAAGCTACATTTTTAGAACCTTCGTCTGTTTGTACACGTACACAGTCCTACTACTTGTAAATGCTAAAGTTTATGAGGGATATATGTTTGTACTCTTGTCACGCAGAAACTACTGAACCAATTTTAATGAAATTTGGTATATAAATAGATTGTATCCTAACTTAAAACATAGAATATTTTATTTATTTTTTTATTATATCAGCCATTAACTGTCTACTGTTGTACATAAGCCTCCCTCCTATTAGAGTAATTTTGCCAGTAGTTGCTTTGTTTGGCAGGCGGTTTGACAATCGCAGTTAGGTTTTAGTGATATTTTAAGAGGAACGCTGCTGCCCATCCCTCGACTAATAAATTCCCTTAGTCGCCTCTTACAACATCCACGGGAAAGTAAGGGGTGGCCCATTCTATGCCGGGGGCCACATGCCAGTTCATATAAAGATTCACATGAAAATGAATGAAGTTAGAGACGTAATAGAGGCCGCTGGCATTGTTTTCTCTGCTTATCTCGCGAGGGATTCGACGTGAAGATGGCTAGATGTACCTACAACTTCAGCTCTCAAGAAATGTAAGGCTGTTTATTTTTAGCGTAACAAAGAAGGATTGTCAATTTGTCATTTCAGCATGGTAATTACGAGAGCCCTTGGGGAACGCTGCGATCGAGCGCTCTATTACGATTTATGCCAATATTCTTAGATACGTTTTAGGGTTCCGTAGAAAAATATTATGTGGTGGGCACGTAGCTTCGTATAAATTAGGTCCTGGTTTCAGTTCCCAGTCGAGCTAATTTGAGAAACGAACTTTTCTGTTTTAGCTCAGGTTTGGGTATTATGAGTTATGCCCCAAAATGATCGTCGCCTGATTCCAAGCGATTGGTGGGTGTGGCATTTAACATTATCATCATCAATGGTTCTCGCGGTCTACAATTAAAAAGATTTCAATAAAATTTTACATATTACATACGGGATTAGGCGTGGACAATGTATAGCAATATCTATATACTGGTCCAATAGATAGATAGATAGATACTCTTTATTGTTTCCTCCAAAAGATTACAATAGTAAACTTATTATAAATATAAATAATTACTAGAAATAATCACAATGAGAAAACAATGGGCGAGCTTATCGCTAACAGCGATCTCTTCCAGGCAACCTTTAGATGGAGAGGAGTAATTATAAAAATTTGGTGGGAGGCACGATGAAAAATTTTGTTAGTTCTAAATATGGGAGATGTGCTACGTAATTCATAAAATAACGAATATGTTAATAGTCTGTTATTCAAAAAAGTATATTGAATATCAGACTTTTAACATGTTCGTAAATAGATATCCGACCGATATGGGCGATGACCTTTTTTCCGCCATAAATACCAAGTGGAACCCAATATATATTTCGTGTAGACAAGGACCTACACGAATGTTTTCTCAAACATGCTTGGAAATGTGAACATTATTTTGACAAATAAACAAATATAGGGGGAGAATATAGGGGAATAGGAGTTACTAATGGGGATTAGCAATCCATTGGTAGCAATAAATCCCATCAGGTTGACCTCTACGCCTTTCCCCCTGGAAACCGATTGATTTGATATTGAATTTGTCACAATGGGCTAACTGATCCGCTCCATCCTCACCTGTCATTCCTCACTGGTGCCCTGCCAGTGTATTCTGATGGCGCGAGCAGGGTTACCACTTCATTATCATCCATTAAATAAAAAACTATAAATCTAATATTTTATAATGAATTAATGTCTTCATGACACTCGTTTCAGTATGGAGAGAATTCTTAATACTGAGGTTTAGCAACCTCGTTGTAGCTATTGCTTATATCTTGAACTTTAAAGGACTCGTAATCGGTGAGCGTGTATGAATAGATTGATGAATGTGGAGGAAGTGAAAGAGGTTGGCTTGAATCGGTACATTTGGTGTTCCAGGGGGTGGGTTTTCTAGTAATTACCACTCTTGGCAGGCGGGTTGGCAACCGAAATTAGGCTTTGGTGATGTTTTATTAGGGACGCTAATGCCAATCCTTCAATCATAAAATCCTTTAGTCGCCTTTTATATTAGGCATTTTTAGGTCGGCAAGGGGGGGATGTCCACTTCACAATTGTCTGCTTTTAACTATGTGATAAGACATTGTCCATAATATAGTTTTTTTAAGAGGCCAAACCAAGTAAATAATATTAAATATGCTATAATAAAAAAATAAAAAATCAATATATTTTTCAATTTGTTAATAATTACATTTGACTTCTTTATTTCTGCAATAATTTCAGTAAAACATATGATTACATATACATGTAAACGAAAAATATTGTATAATAATGTAATAAAATATATTTACAATTACAATTTCTTACACTCGTAAATATTATTCTGTACCTATCTAGAATTAAATTTTGTTCCACAAACAAAAATGACTTAAATTATGGCGGAGTTTTATTTAAAAACTAAATTACTCAACCGATTTTCATAAGATTCTCATTAGACCAATTTGCAAGTACATCTTTTCAGACAATAAGAATTTTCCAAAAACAATTTACAATTGACGAATTTATGAAGTAACAAACATAAAAAAGAAATACAACCAAATTGATTGAAAGCGAAAGAGGCTTGTTTGAATCAAACCATTTGACGTTCCATTGTTTCTGCCTACCCTAATGGGAGACAGGCATAACAGATATGAATGTATGTATGAGAACCTGCTTATTTTTAAAGTCTGTTGAAAAGCAGAGGCACTGTGAGCAACCAGTGTTTCCTGCCTTGACTCTGAAGGTGTATTATAGTATGAGAACAGCCTTTCAATATTAAACTATAAGCTGTCATTATAAGCAAAAAAATCTCTTTTTTTAAATTTATAAACTACTAGTTTTTGTCTATTACTTCACATGTGTCGATTTCAGAAGTAGGAATAGCAATTTAATTGACCATTTCTAGATAGTGAATTAAGATAAAACATACACCAAATTCTAAATTAAATAATAATTCTGGCTTCTATTGCCCTCATTAAGTTTTCTTAAATATTTCCTATATACAGAAAACATCTACCTACAATTTTATTATATTAATAAGATTTATAAATAAAAGACTCAATTATTAAACCTAATTGGGTAATCAGAGACATTTATCAGCTATTGCAGAGTAATCTTTTAATCTGAGTAATTTTACCATACTATAACTAATAAAAAATATGCAATAAAATAAAAGACTTATGGAAGAGAACTTGGTACCAAATTAATCTCACTTATAAAGATGAATTTAATGACGAAAATTTCCACGAAGAATAAACAATATTCAGCATCAACATACTAAAACTGTAAATATTTACTTGCAATAATTCAATCATTTAATACAGCAAGAGCCATTTCTTTTGAGATGCTATCTGACATACTATTCCTTTTATTCACCTCTTGTTCATCACTCGACCACCAACTTTCATCATCATCTTGAATAAAACACAAAAATAGATCATCTTCGTATGTGGGAAAGTAATATTCCGGTTGGTCCCACTTCTCTCTAACTAGCGTACAATGTCTCATATCTTTCATATGTTTCTGTAGATTTTTTAAATCATCAAACTTAGTATCACAAGAGAAACATTGTTGTAAATGTATTTGACGCCTAATATAGTTTACAATTTTTATTTTATGATAAAAATCTAAACCATTTGTCACATCCGTAAATGAAAATTCATGTTGTTGCATCATATGATTTAAAACATTTTCGTATTCCATCTCTGTATGCTGACAAAGTAGACACGTAATCAGTGGGCCATTTTCTTCAGTCCATTCTGACCATTCTGGATCACTATCCTCATTAGAATCTACTTCGCAATCTCTCTTAATTTTTTGTGTAGTTCGATTTTGATTCTTATTGCTACAGAGTTTCTGGTTGGTTTTAGATTGTGCTGTATCACCTACGTAATTGACTAGAAAATATCTATCATACTCTTTATTGTCTGGATTTATTCTTTTGTGACCTTTTTTACGCATGTGCTCTTTTAATATGGTACGGTCCTTAAATAATCCCTCGCAAAATATACAATGCAGGTTTTCTAATTTTTGAGCAATTGTGTTGATTAATTCATCAATAAATATTAAATTATCTGGTTTGGCAATATGAAAATTGTGTTTTTCATATAAATGGTTTAAGTAAGCTGCCCTAGTGGTTGTAGATATGAAACGGCAAAACAAACACTCTCTAACATAATTTTTATCTTCTCGTTCAAACTGGTGTCTCTGTAGGAGCTTTTCCAATCTAGTTTGCTGTAAATTCATACGTAATTCTTTATCTTCTGGCAAAACATCACTTAATAAATAATATTCCTCATTTTTAGACTTTGTCCCATCTGGCTTATTATCTAGAAGCATTGTTGTACAAAAATATGGTAGACTTTGATCTGAAAACAAAAATCATATAGGTATAATTTTTTTCATATTCTATGTTATTTAAAATTTAAATGTAAAGATATCACTAAAAGAAAAAGAAAGGAAATAATAAGATTTGTGCACTGCAGTGTCATTTTATGACGTTTTCATAGACTTGATTATAATAAGTTACCCCCTTTCTTTAGTCTATTGTTATTACTGTTAGTAATATTGCTAAAAATAATAGTACCTAATACATAAGTTAATAATAACATACTCTAATTCTTTAAAAAAAAATTACTACATGAATTACTAAACATTGACATTCTTTTTTCTTAAAAACACAACATTCCTTTAACACGAATTATATTGAAGTCCTAGTTATTTACTGAGTAACTCTACTAATTTTCATAAGTAGTTTGTTAATAACTAACCTCTAAATCTCAGTCTCCAGTATTTAAGATATCCATTCAAATCCGCTATTTGGTTGACATCGGCTATCACAAGTCGGTGTTCCATGAATAAATGAGTAAGTAATTGCTTCTCACAAGCTGGTAAAATGAAAATTTCTTCACATAATATACAAGAACAATCAATATGTTCGTCGCTCTTGAAAATAGTTGGAAATTCACTTTTTTGATGTAATGTAAGCGGACCAAAGTATTCTTTTTCGTTTGTAGACATATTCTAAATTAATATTTAAGAATAGTTATATTTTTGAACTCTAAAAATAAATCAAGAAAATATAGTGAACAATAATCCAATACAGTGAAAAAGAGAGATATTCAAAACAGTTGTCTGTCAATGTACTGTCAAACTGACAGTTTTGTCAAATAAGGCATTGTCAGGTAGTTTTAGGTCATAGATTAAAAATAATATGTTTTTTTGCGTATTAATTTTACACGAATGTACATTAACGTATTTAACATTATTTCACAAAAAGGGGCCTCGGCTTTTTTAAAAAAGGCTCACATATTCTCTAAGACATATTTTTACGACAGTTTGCTCGCATTCTGCAATGGACACTAGAGGATTCTGGTGGACCCGGTCCACTTGTTCCCTGTCTAAATATGGTTTTATACAATATATTCTCAAAGATATAACTTTCTTGTAAAAAATATATATATTGTTAGATAATATTTTTAATGTATGGTTATTCTCATACAATTTACCTTTAGCTAAAAGCTAATATAATATTTCTTTATATGGGTAAATCTATTCTATACTTATAATAAATCTGTAGAAAGGTCAATTCTGTACATGAAATATATTTCCAAAATAACTATCAGGGGGTGATTAGTGATCGACACTGATGCCAAAAATAAAATCAGTAAAAATTTTGTCTGTCTATCTGTCTGTATATTCGTTATAGGAACAAAAACTACTCGACGGATTTTAACGACACTTGATACAATTATTCTTTTTACTCCTGGGCAGGTTATAGTACTTTTTATCACGCTATGATCAATAGGAGCAGAGCAGTGAAGGAAATGTTAAAAATGTCCACACGTGCGACGCCGGGTCGGGCCGTTAGTAAAAAATAAAATAAAAATTATGTATGGACTCATAAATATTCAGTGGCTTTTAATAGGTATGAATGGTACATTCCATGCGAATTTTTTTAATGGGTAATAAAATGGTAACTCCGATTGCATTATCGGTATACACTGGTGGAATACCAGTGAGAAATTATAGACTATTATGAAATTATAGAGTATTAAAATGCCTTAATAATATCATGAGATCTAAACCAAGGCGAATTTTAGTAGAGCGAGGGTCCGATACGTAGATAAGTGCCTACAAATTATTATTATTATTAATAGATAAGCGTTAATAGTTTTAAATAAATATTTTGGATTTTAATAGATAGAGGAATGAGGAAATAATTACCCCAAGTTGAGTATGTATAAGTATATATTTCTTATTAGATATATTTACAGCGCATTTACTTATGTTTCTAATTCTAATCTTATAACATAAATTACAAACAATTTCAATTTTCATTCTATCTCATATATAACACACTATAATTATATTATTACGTGAATTTACTGGGTACAGAGGAATAACACCTGAGTCCTCAGGAATGGCAACGCATGGGGGGTATCATGAGCGAAACAATATACTCTGTTATATCCATGGTACCGCTCATGTCTATAGGCGGCCGTTACTACTTTCCATCAGGTGGACCGTCAGCTTGTTTGCCAATCTGTTGTATAAAAAAAATCTAACAATGTAGGAAAATGGTAATGTGTTCGGGAGACATTTTTGTAATATATACCTAGTCATAGGCAATATTTTATTAACAATTAGCTCCTCTCCCTCGTCCGCTGTTGTTGAGAATTTTTACATTTTCCATTTTCATCATACACAAAAGATTGTGATGTAGCCTAACCGATGGCAGCTTTACATCCCCTTTAAATTACGAAGCGTAACAATAAGGCTAGACTTAAGTGGTTTTCCAGTCATAGTACAGTATATCAAAATATTAAAAAAATCAAGACTTTTATCGTAAAAATATGAAAAAATCAAATTATTAAACGGATTATTGGCACAAAAGTATTTTGTGTCAGCTTTTTATAAAATGATAGTGTACATTGACTGAACCAGTTAGTATTCCAAGCATTTCATCTCCTTTAAAAAAATAAGTGGTTAAAAATAAAGCTGGGATTCGATTTTGTTATCCCCGAAAGGCGCTCACGCGTTCTGCTGATTGAGTCTTCTTTGTTATTACCATATCATGATGTATAGAGAAATTGATTAGTAAATATGCTTAAATTGAACTCAATGATATTTTTAAAATAATAATTTGGAATCCTACAAGTAGTAGGTACCTATTCTAATAAATAATAATAATTATAGTATAGTAAAATCTAGAAATAGGGATCAATGACAATGTTGTACTATCGAAGGTACGCATCACTAGCTGAACAACGCAAAGGTGAATAGTTTTTTTTTTATTATTATCAAGTGACTTCAAAAGAAGGCAAGTTTCAATTCGCATAATTTAGATACAATTCATATAAAATTTTAATAATGAATCTTCTTATCACAAAAAAAAGGGTGACGGGAATCAGCTATTAACGTTGTCGACTTGCCATTGGATATAAATCTCAATCATACTGCCTCCCCTCCGCCCCTCCTATGTAAGATCGACCAATCGATTATGATAATTCTTGTTGTAATTAGCTAATAAACAAGAGGGAAAGCCCATTGACATGGGGGAAGGGATTGTTAATCAAGTTGACTTTCTGTGATCCCTCTGAAAATCATCACACTGAAGTGTATTCTAGGTATATTCATCACGATAGGCCATAGAACTGCCCTTTTAGTCTCGCTTATCATCCCCCACTGGAGCTCTGTCAGCATATACGGTTAACGCAGGGTATTATTCCATTATCATCCATTAAAAAAATAAGATTTTTTTATTTTTTTTTTTCATCATATTAATTTTGTTCTATTAAATAAATAAACTCGGATGAAATGATTAAAAACCGTCGGTTATTTTAAAAGAAGTCGTAGCAGACGGAAAATCTTATTTAATTATTAATATTTAATTATAAGAACTTAATACTATTTACAACAAAAAAAAACATAGATATGTAATAGATAGATGATTAGGAACATAGGATTAGGTACAAATGTATCTTAAAAAAAAATATTCCCACAGCTCTAATTTTTAGACGGGGAAGTCAGTGGCATTTTGTCGTAATTTATATGTATACATAATGTCTATTTTAAATATGATACAAAATCATTAAATGCAATTTATTAAAATAAATAATTAATAAGTACAATAACTAAGAGGCATGGAACCTTTATAATAATTAAGAAAATAAACGTTCAGTACAATTCATATAATTTATCATCTGTTCATCAATTTATTTACCGATTTTTTTACATAAATAATATTTAAATCTCATTGGGTCAGTTATAAAAATATAAGATACTAGGCGACGTTTCCAGTAAACAACTTTACAAAACCATAAACAACGACACCTGCACAGTAGGTACTTATCCAATTATGAAATTTTGTATATAAAATTGTACAGCACATGTCAACTGGCACAAAAATTAAAGATTGTACGAGTACCTACTATTCTTAATCTATAAATTAAAAATATTCACACATATATCTCATAAATTAGATAAGGATCATTTTTAACTGAAATAGTGTAATAGTGGCCAGTGTCTTTAATCTTAATAAAAAAAATATAAGTAATTATTGAATAAGCATAGCGAGATATTTCGTTTGCAAATTAAAACAACAATTCGGAAAGTTATTTAGAATATTCGTAGTAATTCATTTGAGGTAGGCATATCCTTATTAAAGTTTTAATTTTAAATAATATTATCATAGATTAAGAATAGTATCTGGCATTCTCTACGAACACTATACAGGAATATGGGATAATTCTACAAATAGAATTTTTACGTGGCCAGTAAGGTTATTAGAGCTTTCGAAATATCCACACTTTTTTAATTAGGTTTATGGAAAGCCCCATGTTTGTAATACATATCTGCCTCTGGTGTCGATACACAATATATATTATCGTTCCTCTTTACATGATATATTTGTGTTTACATATAAAACATTATAGGGCACTGTGCTACCTCTGCTCGCTGCGGTGACCTGTACTGCATATTTTCTGCCGGATTTCAGTCCATTTATCTTCTGCTTTATTACTTTCGATCTAAAATAAATAACATATATTTTTTTATTAAAAAACAATTTAAATATACGAAACAATAAAACGAATAAATTCATATTTATTCGTTTTTAATAAATTAAGAGTGATTATACCGAACGTTACTGAAGTGTAGCTGCGTTGAAAATATTTATTTTTAAAAACAATTGAATATATTTTAATACTTCTGATCTGCTTGACTATTTAAAAAGTGAATTTAATTGAAAATATAGGTTTAGATCGCAAAAAAGAGAAATATTTAAAAATTTCCGAAGCAAAATCTGATCGAAATTGGTGCAAAATTTTTAGCTTAATTTATTTAGGTAAAGTGTTTCAATACAAATGTTTTCTCAAAAATAGGTCAACTTTTTTATTAACATAAGTATGTGGGAGAAATTTATAAGATTAAATAAAAAAGGATAGTAAATTCTTACGAATGTATTTGAAAGAACGAGATAAACAGTACTAATGATTTATAAAGTTGCTTATTTTTACTGAATACTTTGGTTTATAAGTATAAATCTAAAATATGTTTTCGTTTTTTAAATCATGAAAAATGACCACCATTTTAATTAATACAAAGCACAACGTATAAAATATGTATATTATATTATTTTTTTATACTCAGATATAAATTATAATTATTATTTAAATCATACAAAATTATAATTTAAAAATTATTAATCAGCCAAAAATAATTAGCTGACCAACTTTTGACACGTTTTTGATACTTGATGACTTGTACTTGATTGTATATTCCCAAATTCGTGTATAATATAGTATATATCATATATGTGTAAGTATATTTGTTATTCATATATATTTATTCGTTTATATATGTAATTTTAGTATGTATGTATATCAATAATTAGTAGTACCGCATTCGAGTATTCTGACACTTCCCTATGGTTGACTGGGAGAGAATGCTTTTAGCATTAAGTCCGCCATGTACACATATTTGTACTAATGAATAAATAAATAAATAAATAAAAACGTCAAGTATCAAAAACATATATATTGGCTTAGGCGTGGCTTATTCTAGGATTAATAAATAATCTGTGATAATACTTACGATGATGCCTGTATATGGTTTATACACTGTGGTTTCACATAAGACTTCTTAAACATGCCACACGTATAGACTTCACCATTTATATATTCTCTGACGATTGTACAATATCTAAAAAAGGAATGAGAGATATCGATTTTATATCAATTTAATCAAAATTACGAATTTGAGATGTTCGATTCCATTCGATTAATTTTTACTGTGCGATTCCATCTTTTTTCATTATTTGTCTTTTGTTCAATAATTTTTAATTTAATTACGCCTTATTGGACCGTAGTAGGCATTTTGTATTATTATTTTTTACTTCACCAAGAATAACGGAAATTAACAAAAGGGAAAATATTGATCCTTGGCAGTGTATGAACAAAATACTACAGACAATAGATAAAAACTAAAAATTATTATCTGGGCTTTTTAAGACCTCTCATATCAAAGTTTGCTTCTCCCATGTAATTTCTTCCTTTTCTGTGGGTATGGTAAGAGACGGCTAAGAAAACTTAATAAGCGAAAGATGAGCAACAGCTCCCTCTTAAAACATCACCAAAGCCTAATTGCGTTTGCCAACCCGTCAAACATGGCATTTACTACTAAAACCCCTCTTATAGGAAAGGGCCAGTAGTGGACGGTTAATAAAATATCAGTTTTTACTTCATACCAGTATTTCCTATCTATAGAAAAGAACATTTTAGTTACAATTTTATTATCTCTATCCTTTTTTCCTTACTAATAGTGTAATAAGCATCGCAGGAAGTCTGTGGATGCAGATGATCCAGATCGTTCTTTATGATGGTCTGAAGCCTAAGTTCAGCAGTGGACGGTTATCGGCTGAGATGATGATGATAGTGAATATTATAAACGTGAAAGAGAGTTTATTTAGTAGTTTGATGTCTCTTAGCACCTTCACGAATTAACGAATCACTGTGGAATTTAAAAAAACACATACTATGTATGCAGGTATTTGTGATGAAAAAGGGCATAAGCTACTTTTATACAACTTAATGAATATATGCCAGTCACGCAGACTAGAGAGAAGTCACGGATAAAAGCTAGTACCTACGTACATAAATTAAATATCCAAAAATGCAATTAATTGATTTTTGACAAGAATTTTGTCAACAGTGGGTTAAAATTAATTCACCTGATAACATCAGTTGCATTGTGTGTGGCTGGCAGAAATGCTATATCTACGGATCTGCATGATCTCTTTGGCCTCAGTTCTCGCACAATGGCGCCATCTTCTGATAATTCTGGAATATTTACACCCCATCTTGTGGTAGAAGCAGCAATCTGAAAAGTTAATGATAATATAATTCGGTGGCTCTGACTACCTCATCTAGGATTATGGGAATACAGAGAATTAGAAATCGTTAGAATTTGCCAGTGTAACTGAATGTTTTATTAAAATTAAATATTAGGTAGAAAAGCTATAAAAATTTTGAGTGCCTATTTCTACTGAATAGCAAATTAGGTGACGACCCCCTAATAGAAAGTGACAGCCATCGTCTATAGACATACAAAGCACTTCACAGAATACACTGAAGTGCCTTTAGTACCAACACATGCGATGCTATTTTTGAAGTCTAATATGTTATGTCTCCGTACTTCGTTATTTGATTGTCATACTTCATTCACCATTGAGTCATATTTCAAAATCGAAATACTATCATGAAAGTACAGTTGCTAAGCGAAAGAAACTGTAGAAGTACAGAAGTACTCAAGCAAACGACGTTTCACAAAGTTTCCCTCTGGTAAAACTAAATTTTATTTTGGTATTTTCCGACAAATTTTGTAGAGCTTGTCCTTGATCTTACTACACGTAAAGGAAAATGATGGTAAGACCTAAGATAAAACTCGTTTACTCAGAAGATGACTTTTACCATCGACATGCAGAATTCAAGATTTTATTTCCATTCTTTGGTAGTTCACATCAGGAAAAGATAATATGTTTAAGAAAGTATTTAGTTTCACTAGTAAAAAAAAATATTTACTAATAATATTGATTTCGCCTATAGTAATTAATAATATTATTAATTATAATTTTGTAATTGATACCATAATATAAACATACCTCCAAACTAATGCTTCCGTCCCTGTCCCGTCTACTCGGAGTCACTTTGATGACATACCTCATCCTAGCTTCCTCTGAACTAGAGTCAAACTGTACTGAACCTTCATCACTTGTCTCCTGCATAGATGAGGTCGAAATTGGTACTGGGACAAAGATTTTCAAATGGGACTCTGGAAAATAAAACTAAGTTCTAATTCAATGGAGAACTGAAGACAATCTACATAAATAAAATGAATCGCTAAATGTGTTTCTAAACGCAAAACTAGACAATCTCCAGCCATTAATTTGGTTAGTTCTTTTTTCAAATGTAAGTTGAAATCCGATAAATGCTCTTATGAAGAGAGAAAAAAAAAACATCAGAAAAATATAAAACTATATTTTGCTTTATCCCATACTAAAAGAACGATCGCTATCAGGTTAGCTAGATTCAAATAAAGAACAATAATAGAAAATATATTTAGTTGACATTTCTATAAGTAAGAATTTACAGACGTGATGTCTATAATCTATATGTAATTGTATTTCGCCTTATAATGAAGCGAAAAGAATCGAGTTTTATAAACTACTGACAAGGGTATGCGACCTGACCCTTTAATTAGTAAGCGGTAATTATCCTTGAAAAGGAAAAAGAATTGTCAGTAATGTGGATTAGCGATCCCATAGCTAGTAATGAGGTCTTTCTGGAACCCATTGTGATTAATTCTTAGTGAACATGCCACTATGGGCATATATGGGTATATTACTTTCATTCTCATCTTCACTGGTGCCCTGCTAGCATTAAAAATATCCTTGGTCAAATTTGTTCTTACCTATATTTTTGGCTATATACAATCTCTTTCCCTTGACTAACACTTCTACGTCAATTGCTCCACCACAATTCGATAGGGTCAACCAAAGACCACCACCAGTCCCAATAGTGGTCTGAAAAATATTTGTTTCTTTTAATATTCAGTACAGTATATACTGTAATTTGTATTTGATATACAATTTAAAATTTTGTGTCGAAATAAAATTTCTTTTTATACATTTTTATCAGCATACGCATAAGAAAAACAAGACACCGTATGTCGCTGTCTCTTTTCATCAAATTCACGCGGTAGTGATAACGTATCTAATGATAAATTCGTTTACTACTTGTTTTCAGAGGTTAGACTCGCAAGATAAGTTGCAAACAAATCTATCTATCTAGATGTCATCGACTATGCTGTCTTATTTTATCTCATGCATGCGATTACGTAATTGAATATAGATTCATTTAAGGTAAGATAAGAGGTAAGAGTGATAATTAATACTGTTTATAATCAATGCTTCGCCATTAGACAGAATAAGACAGCAGTATCCGATGTCTGTTTCTTCCTAAGACGAGTGTCGAAGAAAACGTGTTTGCCAATAAATGTGTTTACTAGTTGATTTATAGAGTGTGCATAAAATACATACTTCTTTTTATACTCTATTTACGTCAAAGTTACATACATTGTTATTTGCAACGAACTAACCCTTTTTGCGTATAAAAAAATATTTGTCTGCCCTGATAAAATGCCCAACGTCTGCGCAGGACTTAATCGATTCTCTTACCTTAAAATAAAAAACAGTTTTCGTTCTAATATCAGAACGATAAGGTACGTTCTCTCTAAGCCGCTTGGCAGTGGACGTCCGCGGGCGAACGCTACTACTAGCCAACAAGGAACCTGCTCGACGATCTTTAGCGATACCGAAGACACTTACGAAATAAGTCTGTAAAATAAATAGGCACTGTTACCATCTTTATAGTATTTATAACGCACTAGACGTTTTACTTGGCTGAATTTGATAAAAAATTGGAAAAACTGATACAAACTTAGCCTTTGATCGAAATTACCAAATTAGACCAAATTCGGCCAAACTTTACCAAACTCTCTACAAACCAACTGGTCTACAAACCAAAATTTGGCCCAATTTGGTTAAATTGAACCAAACTTGATTAAACTAAACAAACTTAGCTATACTTTTTTATGCAACTTACAATGGCAAGCAAACTGACAGACCACTTAAACAGTACATGGACACAGCAGAGTATACACTGTGTCGCCCATAATACCCTTCATGCGTTACCATTCGTAAGGATTAAGGGGCTATACTTCTGCAGCCTATAATTTCATTCCAATATAACATAATAATAATAATACCCACCCTTCAAACCGAAACACAAATTTTGTCAAACATGATGAAATTATTATTATGCGATTTACTGTAATGTTAAATGACACCGATAAATCGTACGTATATACACTACTAAGAAGATTATAATCATATATCCATCACCAGGGAATTTCTTTTTAAAATTGACGTACAAATAACATCGTCCATACATACTCGTACATACTCGTACATACCATAAATGACATTTAAATTCGAAGACAATAACTAATGCAAATCAATCATCTATCTATCACTTTATATTAATTTTTTATATTTTATTATAAGAGAGAACTAGGTCACAAAGTGGTGGTGGTTTTGACATATTCAATATACGAATTGATCAAAGCTAATCAATTTTAATCAAAATTAAGTAAATATTTCCGCTGTAGACCTACATGTATTTACGTGAATATACGACATTTCGTACAAAGTTGATATTTACCTAACGCTGTTGCTAGGTGAAGCGGGTCACCTCGTATTTAATTTACAACTGTTCTAAATTTAAATTTGGAATTCGCGTTTAAAAAAATAAAATTTATTAGTGTTGAATGAATGAACGTGACGAAAAATTTATAACGTGCGCAAACTAAGGCTAACAACACATTAGAACTTTTTCAGTCGCCGATTCTGCGATAGAATGCCAATATTTCAAATTACAATTTGCTGTTATGAGTTTCACTATGAAGAATCGGTCATTCACTATAAATATCGTCACTAAACGCTAGCATTTTACATCTGGTAACTATGTCGTTTGCTCACCGATCTTCCATCGGCGGTAGATCGACGACGCTATATTACATAGTTTCTTATGAGACGCATCACACTTAAAAGGTAGTCTGCTTTATCTGCTCCCGTAGGTTAATGTTTTCATATTTATTTTACGTGTGTTTAGATGTTCCCAATATTTACACTTTATTATATTGTTATTTAAAACTTCATAAATCGTAATCATCTCTTTATGATCTATTTAATTTTTTTTATGTAACTTAGAATGGCAAACAAGTTCATGGCCCACTTGATGAAAAATGGTAACCGTCAGCCATAGACGTAAGCAGTAACTTGGATATTACAGAGTATACTGTTTCGCCCATGATACCCGCCATGCGTTGCCATTCCTGAGGACACAAGTGTTATTCCTCTGTGCCCTGTAAGTTCATCGCCATATCCCACCCTTCAAACTAAAACACAGCCATGAAAACACAACTGCTTCACGGTAGAAACACGAATGGGACAGAGGCACTCAAACAAACGACTTTTGTACAAAGTCTCTGGTATATATAACTCTGTAAGGTTTAACACTAGATGGAAATTACGCGACCGAATTTAAATATGGCCTCTACGTTCAGTCGACAATCTTACGCCGTCGATGATCGGCAAATATGCGCTTAATGTGGTAGCTCAATTTAAAATAAGAATGCAACTTTTAATAATATTTTACTTTTAGTAGATATTTTTATTTTTTAACCATTATACCATATAGAAACCAGAATGTCACGTACTGTATTATAATTTATGTTTGCGCTAAAAATGTCTATTACAAACACCACATTCTCGCAAATGTAAAGAGCAAAGAAAAAAATAATAATTTACGCGATGCTTTTGATATCTTTAATCGTATTTTGTTTGACAAGTTTTCTTATTTTCTTATTTCCAACATGTTTGATTTATGAAAAGTGTTTACTTTTAATAAAAATAAGTAGATATATTTCTCAATATGCATTACTCGTAAGTGTCGTTGAATAACTTCAAAATGTTGTTGTTTTATTTCCAAAAATAACCTTAGATTTTTTTAATGAATTAGGTATAATGAAGGAAAATAAATTTATGATTAAACTAAAAGACAAAATATAAACTTAATTACCTAAAAAAGAAACTACATTTATAAATATTTTTTTTTATGTTAATAAAAAAAAATTTTCTAAAACAAATGTAATACCAGTAATATTTATTAAAATGAAACGATGTTAATATTTTTAATGCTTTCTTATAATTAGGTAGCTATATTGGAAAAAACTTACTCTATTGGGGTCCAAGTTTTCAATTAAGTGATGAGTTCTATCACCAACGCAAGCTATTACTGGATCTTCATTGGTCACTTTTGTGCTGCGTCCTGTTGAAAAAAAAAAGAATGTATTTATAAGTAAGTATTAATTTATTTTTAATAATATTAAAAAATGCTAAGGTTTTCTCTCGAGAATAGGGTTCTTCATTGTATTGTGTATTAAGGTTTCTTAAGGTTAGCAATACACACGTGACATTCCTGTCGTTGCTGGTGTCCATAGACTAAAAGGACCACTCACGATCAGACGGGCTGTATGGTTGTATGCCACGTTTAAAACCATTATCATTATCGCTTTTGCCCAGTTAAATTATATATATATATATATGTGTGTGTGTGTGTGTGTGTGTGTGTTTTTTATCAAATATCTGGCTACTATGTCAGCTTATTTGTACAGTATATTGCATGTTTCATATGTATGTATTTTATATTATATACACTAACCTAACACTAATATTTGTCTTGTTGTTGTTTGTTATTTAATTTCATTGTTACATACAGTTTGTATAGGCTCTTATGGAAGACCAATGTCGGTAAGGACTCCCGAAACATTCCGAGTAAGAGCCTTTGTAGTGACAAGAATTTGTTTTTATTGTTAGCCATTATAAGTGTCTATGTATGCCACTAAATAAATTATTTTTCTTTCTTTCTTTCTTTAAAATAGTGAAATAATAAAAGCTACGGCTAAACATTAATATTACATTTTCATTTTTACGACCACAATGGATGACTTCCTATCCGGTACGTCATTACCATTAAAAATTAATTAAAATCGTTTCCTGAAAGAACGGACGGGAAAACGATTCGGGATTCAGAAAATATGAAATTTTACTTACAAATAAATATTTTACGTTATAATTTAATACTACTACTACCTACTCTGTAAAACAAAAAGAAAACGTCTGCTTTAATACCGTCACAATTAATACGAAACCAATAACTATAGAAACTCGAACGAATGAAAAAAAAAACAAGACCGTTTTATAATTTTCGAGGACTTGTAGTAAAAACCAAATTATTTGATTGTGACATATTTTTTTTTTATTATTTCGGCCTTTATCTATCCACTGCTGAACATAAGTCTTCCCTATAAGTAAAATTTTGCAAGTAGTTGCGACGTTTGGCAGGTGGGTTGGCAACCGCAGTTAGGCTTTTAGAGATGTTTTAAGAGGGACATTGCTACCCATCCCTCGGCCTCCCTTAGTCACCTCTTACGACACCCATGAGAAAAGAAGGGGTAACCGATTCTATGCTAGGATTACATTACCAAAGCCTAACTGCGGTTGCCAATCTGCCAAATGGGGCAACTACTTGTAAAACTGCCCTTATGGGGTAATCTTATGTCTAGCAGTGGACGGTTAACGGATGATATGATAACGATGATGAGAACTGCTACGTTGCCAACTTAAATCTATAATTTTACACTGAAAAAGTAGAAGTAATACATGATATATTTTTTTTAAAACCATAATAAATATATGGCAATAAAAGTCTCGAATGAAAAAGTGTTGTGGGCAAACTTACCATATTTCTTTCTTCTATAAACACTTTTAAAATTCCTATCGTAAATGCCAAAATGTGAATCAATCTCGCTTTCCACTTTAATTTGGTTATCAACTTCAGTTAACACAAAACGGTTGGTGTGGTTCTTCCTATCTGATGGATTCAAGCCTTCAATATCAAAGTTTACTCTATCTAATTCAGGGTTGAATCGAGTCGATTTATTATCCAATCGATTCAATTTGACGTCGAACTGAGCTGCACATAATGATGTGTAGTTTCTTACATATGATGCAACCACGCAATATGTAGTTGATTGAGGGTCTATAGGGCTGAAACAAAACAGAATTATTATTTTTTTATCACAAATGTGGCAAACAGCATACGGCCTACCTTATGGTAAGCGATAACTATTCCCTATAAATTCCTAAAGCAGGGGTATTTTGAGAAACCCTATGTCTCATGGGAAAACTACAGCTCGAAGCTTACTATTTTTGCAAAAATACAATTAAACAGAAAAAAGAAATAGGAATTAGAATAAATAAAAATATCAAAAAGACGGAAAGAATAACAGAAAAAGACATTTAAGAATCTATTCTTAAGAGAATGAAAAATGACTAATCAACAATGGCATTTTATTCATTTTCTCAGTGTTCATAGGTGTCTATAGGTGACGGGTACTGTAACTGGCAAGTGACAAGGGTTACCACTTTCTATCAGGTGGGTCAATAGCTTATTTACCATACTAAATATAATAAAATAAAAATAAAATAAAGATTCATTTACAAATAAATCAATGTGCTACACAAGTGAACTGTTGAAACCACGCTACGCAACATTCTAGTATCGAGAATGCAAGGAACGCATTCGAGTCCAGTTATCTGTAAAGAAACCACTGTATCGCGATATAATACTTTAGTATTGGCACGATTTATAAAAAAAAAAATCAAAGACACCGTCCTCATATGAATCAATTTATATTCTACTAAACACTCGCCTCTAATTACTTACGAGCACACTTACTGGCCCCCTGCTATGGCTGGTACACATTTTAACGAGTAAATTGTTTATAGGTTCCTAGAAGAATAGGTTTTCTTTTTATTAAAAAAAAAACCGTACTAAGTTTAATATTACTCGGGTTTTATTTATACGAATTTTAATTTGCGTGATGAATGTTATTTAAGCACTATTTTTTTGTATTACTTTTATACTCGAAAATAGCGCTCTTAAAAATTTGCTGTTCGAATAAATCACAAGGTAAATATTTTTTCTCAAACATGCTTGGAAATGTGAGCATTATTTTGACAATCTTCTTCGAGATAAATCAAAATTGCTGTACTGGCCAGATACACGCGGGCAGCGGCTGGCAAAAGTTGTATGAAAATCCATATCTGTCGTGTTTTGCGGCCAGATAAATTACTATGTAAACACATATCTGTCCTGTAATTTAAAAATGGAATGACCTTTTACTAGAAACATAGCTACCAAGGAGTTAACTAATAAAGGGTTTTATTTAAATTTCGAACTGGTTTGCAAATAGCTGTTTATTAAAAAAAAAACAACATTATGGCGCGTGAAAAATTATTATTGTTTGTTATTCGTCATTGAACTTAAAAAGTAAAATTGTGTTTTTGATTTCCGAGCATTGTTTGAGAAAATACTATACAAGCCTTGGCCACAACTAGGCATTGATGGATTCACGTATGTGTGCTTCGGCTACGCCTCGGCCCACATTTGCACGTTCGTCCATCAACGACTCAGTTGCTGGCCGCTGCAGTAATGTACTATAATTTACAACGCCATATCGTCTATGAACGGATTTTGCTTTGGGAATTATTAATTATTCGCTTCGAAAATGTGAGACCAATACAGAAATAAACTTGATTAATTACAAAAATATTAATAAAAATCAATTTAGGATTATCACAAAAAATATAAATTTAAAACCTCCATGTATTACAAGTCGAATTTGAAGTCCGTTGACTTCTTGAACTCTGTTATGATACCGAGTAAATAATTTTATGTTGTCATTTCATTTCTCAAGCTTGTTGCTTGCAAACCTGAGACCATTCATCCAATACAATCTTAGCTGGAACTTTTTGCCGGGAACTTTAACGGGAAAGATTATATAAAGGAATGTAGGACTGTTCGTCCGTCGTTGATCTGCGATGAATCTACATTGAATCTACAGTCGGTATGTCATTCGACCAGCATTGTTGCGTATTTATCGAATGGCCTTTACTGTTATATGACGAGGAAATCAATTTTATTAGAAAAAAAAAATGAGTACATAGAATGATGTATTTGCTACCGTTTGTGAGTTAAGTACCTTTGTAATTTATTAACCATACACCAGAGGGAGACTTTTTACAAAAGTCGATTGCTTGGGTACCTCTGTCCCATTCGTGTTTCAACCATGAAGCAGCTGTGTTTGCATGGCTGTGTTTCGGTTTGAAGGGTGGGATATGGTGTGAATTTACAGGGTACAGAGGAATAACACCTGAGTCCTCAGGAATGGCAACGCATGGGGGGTATCATGGGCGAAAGAGTATACTCTGTTATGTCCATGGTACTGCTCATGTCTATAGGCGACGGTTACCACTTTCCATCAGGTGGGTCGTCAGCTTGTTTGCCATTCTAAGTTGTATAAAAAAAAATTAAGCAATTTCAAAAGGATGTTCTCAGTTCGTGTAATATTATTTTATATTAGCTTTTACGCGAGACTGCGTCCGTATGATCGATATATGTTCACTGATTTGGAATAAAAAGTACTAACTAGTAAAAGATAAAAAACTGTGTTATTCTTCACCCTTTATATTCATATATCAAACTTAACATTAATTAGTTAAGCCATCAAACAAACAAATTCACTTTCTCATAATACTAATACGAAGTCTGTTGCATCATAGACATAGTGTAACGTACTCAAAGATTTCAATAGAACTTATGAATATATAAATAAATTAATAATTGACCTAAGCAGACTGTCTTTTGTTTTGAGTCTGCTGATTTCTAGTGGCTGTACTAATTAAAAATAGTTTTTTTTTTTAAATTTGTTAGGTATAGTAATCAGGTTTCAGTCAATAAAATGAAAAACATTTATAGAAAAACAATGGTAAGACAGGTGTACACATAGCATGGTTAAAACAGTTGGCAAACTGTGTTAAATTATTATAAAGAGATAGGATATAAATATAGTAAATAATAAGGAACAAGTTGAAAAAAAAAATTATATAAAGTTATATTTTATTAAATATTATTATATAATTGACTCAAAGTTCCAATTCCTAACTAATTTAATTTAGACAGTGTTCCTGTGACAATTAGAACAAAATTCGGATTACGTTTTAATTGAATTATATTAAAGCCTACCTGTGGTTACCAACTTGCTTGCTAAGCGTAGCAACTACTGGCAAAATCTCTCAATTGGGGGAGGCCTATGTTCAGCAACATAACAGCTGATATGATGATGATGATGATATTAAAACAGACTATATTAATGTCACGCCATCATACTACTAATTCTAAATTATTTTTCTCCAGTGTTTAATCTTATTTTAATTTTGTGACAACACAGAATTGCCTTTTGCCTTGCAAAGCAAAATGCATGCAAAGTAATATACGTATAGTTTTTTTTATACCTCGAAGGTGGCAATCAAGCATACAGCCTGTCTAATAAATAAAGTATTAGTGTAGCCTATGAACGCCTGCTATACTAGGAGTGCCACGATAGTATACATATATATATATATATATATATATATATATATATATATATATATATATATATATATATATATATATATATATGGGCTAAAATAAATAAATAATTTCTTTTCTTCTGAAAAATTAACGCATGCCGTAGTAATCAGTAGTTAAACAAACACAATATACCTAAACTATTTGCATGGGATAAAATAATTAAAGTGGATATCTTGTTGTTTGCTGTAATAAATAAATATACATGGACGATGTTGACATGCTCGTATATATACACAGAATTATGCGATCTAAAGTCCCCAAAATAATTTCCCTTCAAAATTCCTTTTCAATTATCAATCACAATTATGCTATTCGAGGTCACTTCGAAGACTTTATACAATATTCTAATAATTATTAATCGCAGTTTGCAATCAAAACACTCGCCGTGTTAATCACATTTATTAAGAGAAACGTTGGAGTGGAATTAAATTGAAATACAAATGTAACAACACTTAGAGTAATTATTTATTAAGTAATCTGTGATAAAGTTAACAATACAATTTATTTAATAACAATTTACTTTGTGTTTGTAAATAAATAAAAACTGAATAAAAACAAACTCGACTGGACAGCGTTCGAAAAACTAAAAAACTACGCCACATCTTTTCATCCTAAATATCGCAAAGATTAAAGACGAAGATTTTTTAATTTTGATAACTTATGGAACCGAACCATGGTCCTACACAGTTGCTGGTATGCAAAATTTTTAAATTACTCAGCGAAATATGGAAAGGGCTATGCTCGGCGTTTGTCACGCAAGACAGAATCCGAAATGAGTACATTCGCAAAAGAACCAAAGTAACCGATATAGCCCGAAGGATAAGGAAATCTGAAGTGGCAATGGGCTGGTCACGTAGCTCGAAGAACTGATAACGAAGAAGAAATAATCTTAGATAGTGATCTCTTACAGACAAAACAGTGTAGAACGACCCCCACTAAATGGAATGATAACCTTAAATGTATTGCAGAGAATTAGTGGATGCAAGTGGTTCAGGACCGTTCCTTATGGCAGTCTATAAGGGACGCCTATATTCAGCAGTAGACAGAGAATAGTTGAGATAATGATGACGATATAAGTACAAATTTACAAATATTAATCAAAATACAAATTAATAAATATGTGTATACAATACAATAAAAATAAAGCAATTTATTTTTCATAAAATAAAAAGAGAGAATATTAGAAACATCAGTGCACGAGTATGTTATATTAATTCATATGTTTCAATCTTTTTCTACAGACACGTCCATTTTAGGACGTGTTCTTGTGAGTCTATGGACAGCATATATAAATGATGTCTTTGGTAGCTAATAAAATACATTACATGTTATTTATTACGTTAGAGCATACCATTTTTGTATAATTGTATAATTATCGATATTCTTTTTTGTTTTAATACACTTGACATTTTGTGTTCAATTCCCTGCTTTCGCACATAAATCACAAATAAAAGATAATGTGTATTATAAAGTTGTGACAAGTCAAAAATCTTGTGATGTCTTTATTTATTTACTATTTATTGTACCACTTAAAGAATAATAAGCAAATAAGAATTATATGTATGTAGTATAAAAGGTAGTTTTACTGTTTATACAATCTCTTTCAAACAACTTTTTGTAAAATCTTTGTCTATAAAGTCTATACCCTATAGAGAATTACAATATGAAATTTGATAAAGATTACAATATAAGTGAACGAGCTTAGATAGGCAGTTGGTAAGAAGGAGGTTAGAGGTAGGGAAAGAATGTTTTTTGCTGAATTTTGTTTAAATAAAATTTTAAAAAATTATGTGGATCATAACGCTGAATATTATAGTTCACTTTCTATCTTCAATTCACATCTTCATTTTCATCTTATTCTATTTGAGATAAAAGAGAATATAAATATTTAATAGTCAATTAATATTTTCACAAAAGCTGAGCTTATGTAACTGCAGATATAATTACAATAAAAAAACATTATATAAAATAAACATTTCTTTTTGTATTTTTAACTAATTTATTTTAATAAACTTAATAATCACTGATAGCAGGTAGTTTTAATTTTTCATATTAATAAAACACATGATTTGAAACTTGAAAAAACAAACTGAAGTTGCTTCCGATCAACATAATTTAGTATATGTGCTTACCTCTACCTTAGTGCCACAAATGCTATGCATTAGCCTTACTATGCTACTATATATACTTAAACGGCCTGCATAGACGTATTTAAGGGGAGGCTAGGTCGCTCGTATTCACCCCGGAATTCTCCAATGCCCACCACAGGATGCAAACGAAACTTGACAAAGACCTGATTACTAAGATTTGGAAATTTAAGTACACCGCAGCAATAAATTTGAGCACAACAATCATTTCTATTCTTTACGTCTTAATCCAATACAGTAAAAAGGTAGATAGTAGTTCTGATAGCAGATAAATTATTATAAATGCGTGATATGAATAAAGATAAGTATTTATTAATATTCTATAGAAAAAAGTTTATTTTCTATTATAGAAAGCTACAAGAAAATCACTATACAAAAACTAGTAGATAACCTGAAATTATACACAAGTTTTGTGCTATTCTACGAGGAAAAAGCAACTGTCGTTATGATTTCACTGATCAATGTTTGCTCCAAAGAATTAATTACAAATAGATGGCGAGAACTATACGAACTCTGCTACATCTATGAAATAAATAACGCAAATTTATAATTTCAATGTCCGGAAAATGGACATATTTTGTTTGAAATATTCAGTTCGTCAATAATTCAATTTCCGAATGCTGTAATTTATTAGAAAAATAGCTGACTCAAATTCCGAGGTCATTCATCCAAAAGAGGTCAGCTAATAAAATCATTCTCAACATTGGATATTTACAGATGAATATTCATGCAAATTTCCATTCATAACCGTGTCTGTAATGTAATTAATTCTTGACAAAATCAGTTGGAATAGTTAACAGAATTTTCAATGAATTAAAAATAAAAAAAAAATAAAAACAGTACGCTGTAATAATGGTACATGAGACATAACAACCCATTTATTCCCTACAAGGGAATGTATCATAAATTCATTTATTCCGTGTTCTCTGGCGACTAGTGACACATCAAATTTATGTTGTCGAGAGATATGGATAACGGTGCCAGTAACTTGACAGGTTTTTGTTAAGACAACGCTTTACTTGATTGAAAAATCGATGAAACTAACTCAGGACCATGAATTTTCATGGCTCCAATTCTATCTGAATACAGTCATAGATTAAATAATACTAATACAATTCTACATTTTAGTTGAAATACAAGCTTAGCAAAATAAACCATAGTTTATATGGTCATCAAGCTTTGGATAGTCTGTATTTGTTATGTATACATGTATGTGTATGTAGGAGTGTATATATGTATATGTATATGTATATGTATAATATATGTATATATATATATATATATATATATATATATATATATATATATATATATGTGTATGTGTATAAGTTTTTATTTAATAATGTTATATTATTATTCATTTAGTCTTATTATTTACATATGTAGGTATATAGAGCTGTTTTTATTGTGTTATATATTAATTTTTTTTTTACTGGGTATTATTTAGTTTATCTTTAATTGTACGGTTATTACCCTTATAAATTCTACAGTTTTCCAGTATTTAATCTGAGTTATGTACAATAAAGATTTTTACAATTACAATCTACATCTCTAATGATTGTCAACATCATATCAGCCGTTAATTGCTTACTGCCTATACCATATAAGCCTTCTCTATAAGAGGAGGTTTGCCAGTAGTTGTCACGCATGCTTTTTTTTTTTATACAACCCAGAATGGCAAACAAGCTGACGGCCCACCAGATGGAAAGTGGTAACCATCGCCTATAGACATGAGCAGTACCATGGACATAACGGAGTATACTGTTTCGCCCATGATATCTCCCATGCGTTGCCATTCCTGAGGACTCAGGTGTTATTCCTCTGTACCCAGTAAATTCACGCCATATCCCACCCTTCTAACCGAAACACAGCCATGCAAACACAACTGCTTCACGGTTGAAACATGAATGGGACAGAGGTACCCAAGCAATCTACTTTTGTACAAAGTCTCAAAAGTACAAGCTTTGGTGATGGTTTAAGAGCGACGCTGCTGCCCTTCCTTCGATTATTAAGTTCCCTTAGTCATTTTTTGATGTTATGATTTGTCGCTATTTCTGATAATGGACTAGTTTAGTTATTGTCTTGAATCAAGGAGTTATTTTTAGATGTTTTTTTTCAAAATTGTGATTATTTGCGTATAAATAAAAAAAATAGTATAAGACAATTAATATACTATTAAGACTTATAATAAAAAAGATTATAAATTACTATTTAAGAAAATCATCTCCTTCGTAGTACCTAATACATATTAGTATATTTGTCTTTATATAAGGTTTGTATATGTATATTCATGTGTACGAATATGTATGTATTATTTATTTGCGTTTATTATGTGTAAAATATATTTTTTTAATTATATTGTTTTATATTGCGTTTAAATTTATCTTTAACCTTTTTTTCCCCATTTTTAGTATTATTATTTTTTTGTTACGCCTTTACCAGACTCAGTTTTAATTATTCCTCTCCATCCTAAAGTTGCCTGGAAGAGATCGCTATTAAGCGATAAGGTCGCCCATTATTGCCTCTTTATCTTGCTTTTATAATTAAGATTACGTAATTAAGTATTTATTTTATTTGTGTACATATTGTTAATCTTTATAATCTGTATCATTCTTTAAAGGAAAAAGTTTTAAATTATAAATGTCGTTTTCGGATGACGTGACTGACCGCTTAAAATGCATTGGCACTCTTTAAGATTGCTCTTATTCGTAGATCAAAGATTGTATTAGCTATTCTAAGCTCGTTGCAGATGTTTATAATTTGATTATATCAGATCATAATGAGGTTATAATGTTTACCTTGGATCCCAGTTAGCAGTAAGTCTCCGCCTGGATCTCACTCTAAGTCGAATGCGAACTGTTCTTGGTACCTCGCCTCTGACACTCACTGCTACTGTACCGCCTCTTGACGATGAGAGCTAAAAATGATATTTACACAATATTATATATTCTAATGACTAAATAGCTTTTTTTAGGTTCATTGGCTACAGAATACTTTATTATGTTTCAGATTTTTTTTCCGAAACGAAACATCACATTAAAAAATTCAAGAGTTACGTAGAGTCCGTATATTTAAAAAAAAAGAAAACTATCTATATACTGATTTATTTATTTAACTCTTTATTGCACCATAAACAAAAATATATAATGACAAGTGAATAATTCAAGTGAAATACAATAACATAAATACGTGATATAAGCTGATTCGTGTATATAAGGTGAAATTTAAACCAAAGCAACCTTTTACGGCTGTGTTTTACTCACGAAACTTAACAGTTTTCCCAAAAAAAAAATCAAAAAATGAGAAAAATTGTAAAGAATCCTATATTAACAACCAACTGGCAACTCTTTAGGAAAAACATTAAGTAATACTGGTGCCTTCGATCAAACTGTTTATAATTACTCCTCTCCATCCAAAGGTTGTCTAGAACAGATCACTTTTAGCGATAAGTTCGCCCATTGTTTTCTCATTGTTATTATTTTTTGTAATTTTTTGTTTCTATAATAAGTTTATTATTGTAATCTTTTGAAGGAGACAATAAAGAGTATCTATCTATTTACTTCATTTTAAAATTTTAATAAATTTTATTTTGTATTGCAGATTTCTATGTCACTGGTTTATCATATCCGTCTTTAACTGTCCACTGTTAAACATAAGCCTCACCCTTGGGGATTTTGCCAGTAGTTGCCACGCTTGGCAGGCGGAATGGCAATTGCAGTCAGGCTTTAGAGATGTTTTAAGAGGGACGTAGCTTCCCATCTCTCGTCCTCCCATAGTCGACTCTTCATAGTCGACCCGTGGACACCCACGGGAAAGGAAGGTCCTATTCTATGCTCGGACCATACGGCTAATCACTGATTATATCCACCATATCACTGGTTAGTTTATTATAATTACTTTGTTTGATTTCGTTTTTCTGTTCGACTACTAAAGTTTGATATCGAGAATTGATAAATATTAGTCGAGACTCTACCTTCCTATTAATCATGAATCCTCTGTTACTAAGTGTACATCTACACTCGTATTGTGACATATGGTTCACTTCTAAGACAGACATTTCCATTTAATCGATCAATGTTTGGAGCTTAATACTGAACATTAAGCGCACAAAGTGACTGCCATATGCAGATGTTAGTGAAATTAAACAAATTAATTAAACAAGAATGGTATTAAATTTGATTGTTCATATTTTAACAAATTAAAGATTTAAAGTATACATTACTATACATCAGAAATGTTATTTACCTGTAGAAAATATCTCTCTTGTTTCGAAATAAATACAGCTAATGTGTTCGACTCGCCATCCTTGTATTCTTTTAGTAAATTTAAAGGGCCTAAAATAAAATAAAAAAAATATATGTATAAATAAGTTTTCATTATTACCATATCACCATATTAACTATTGAATAATGGTCTCCCTTTAAAATATTTTGCCAGTAATAAAATAAATAAATAAACTTTATGCATTAATAAATGAAGCAATAATCATCAAGCAAGCAATATTAAATTATAGAGTACGAAGTCAACCCATGAGCCAATTCATGAGGAGTATCCCATGATGCTCTTCATGAGTTGCCGTTCTGTGTGTGTGTGTATGTACTGTGACGCATGGGTGTCACAGTATATCCTGTGACATTCATAATTCATGTTTATAAGAAACGTTTACCATTATCCATCAGGTAGACTGTCAGCTTATTAGCCATAAAAAAATGCTGGTAATATCTGAAATTAACTGAAGACAATAGCTGTATAGTCTGTGTCCTTTTCTCTTCCCTAGTAATGAGAAAAATGACGCGAATAAAAAAAAATACAAATACTGTATATGAGAAAATATAAGATAGGATGACTTTTGTCGGATTAGCTAACATGCAATAAATATTTAATTAAGATTTACCGTCAATGTTGTGCGCCATGCTGTGGTAAATAGCCCACCGGAAATCCTTTATGCAAGGACTGACTGTAATGAACACAGGCGTTTGCGCGTTTGTAGACGTGTTTAATTCGAAACTGCAACACCAAAATAGAGATATTTATTTTTTTATATACACGTATCATGGCAATGGTAATCAGACATACGTTCGCAATGGTAAAAAAATTAGGATAATCGAACCTTGGGGTTAATAAATATACATCGTCTTGTTTATACCAGTGAGGTGGCAAACGAGTATACTGCCTACCTAATAGTAAGCGATTACAGTAGCCTATGAACGCCTACAATACCAAGGAAAACGCACCCGTTGTCGATCCTGAAGAAACCTCTTTAACCGTTTTTTAAGAACCCTATGCTGTAGTCTCTTGGGAAAATCTCGACAGAGAGCTCATTCCATAACCTGAGTGTTCGTGGGAGGAAACATCTCTGAATCCGCACTGTACGCTACCATTCACATTCTAAGGTATGGGGGTAAACTCTTTGTCAATGGTGAGTTTTACAATAATAGGAAGTAGCCATGGGCATCGTATTGAACAATTCCGCTGAGCTCAGTCCATTGTACAAGCGTTAGAACACGCAAAGTAAGGCAAGATCTCTTCTAAGATTTAAAGGTATATCAATATGGCGCAATACCGAAACATAACTAATCAACAATGAAAATCAATTTACAATTAGTACTGTAATCATACAATAGGGTTCTTAGTCCGTCTGCATTCTAAAATAAAACCTTCTCTCGTCTAGAAAAACCTCTTTTATCTTTCGGAAATCGTTTAAAAATTTTTTTTATTAAGTTTTATACAATCACACCAATGACCTGATCTTTAATCTAGGATACTCTATGTTATGAGAAATTAAATAATAAACATCTGGGAACGCAACCCTGAAGACCCAGATCCGAGCCAATTAACTAGATAGGTCCTACCGGAAATCGAAGTCGGGACCTTGTTTACGCAAAGCAACATGCCCATTATTTCACCTCGAAGATTTTCACTACATTAAATGATTAATTATATTATAGAATAAAATATAAGTGTGAGAGGATTCTATGTTTTACTAATGTTATTCTAGTAAATACCAGTGACCAGGTCGACATTAATTTTGATAGTCCAAATGGTTTTGTAAAAAATTTCTTATAAATGTATAAAATAAGACATGTTGCTGGAACTGCTTATAGGTATAGTTAGTGCTTTAGTTGTTAAGCATTTAATAACAGTTGTAAGTTATATATATATTTGTTTTTCTCCCTACTAATTGTTAGTATCAACATATGCTGTGTTTGCCTATGAAAAATTGTTACACTTAGGTCTAAGCTTGTAAAAACAATTGTTGGTGAACTTAAATAAATAAACTATATGACCCGTAACTTGGTACTCACTTTCTAATTTCGCCTTCTTCTAACCTATAAATAGTCTGGTTATCAGTAGGAAGTCGCTCCGTGGGTATTTTAGAGACCGGTCTCGTCACTAGGACAGTTGGTGACGCGAGCCCAGCACCAGCTGCGTGGAAGAGCAGCAGAACTGCCATCCTTGTGGTAAGGTTGCTAAGTTTTCTGCCAAAAAAAAATAAACAATTTTTTTATACAACTTTGAATGGTAAATCATTTTAATTTCCTATTTTCTAAAGGTAATCTGCTGTATTCGACGCTTATAAACATACACAGTAACATGACTTCATAAAATAAATAAGATCTTGAGAACTTATAGTTATAGTTGTATTTTTATTATATGTATTTATATAAAATTTCACGAGGGTGCTACATCTACTCAATCAGGTGAAATAGTTACAAGTTCTGAATTTGCAACTATTTTACTGTATTGGACTCATTTCACTTTATTACCACAGTTTCGCAAGACGGTAACAAATTACGTAGAATAAATTTTTAATGTTTATTACATAATAATTACAATGTTTTATATATAAATAACAAAGTTTTATTTAAATTATTAAAACATTAAATTCAGTTAACTTATTTTCTATATACCGCCTTTTGTATTTTTATGTATATATTTTAATCTGTAAATGTAATATATATATATTACATTTACAGACATACAATATATATATATATATATATATATATATATATATATAAATTACATTTCCTATTATTATTATTATTACTGTTATTCGACATCACTAGGCTGTCTTATGGTGAAATCAATTACTTATTCGTTTATATTATTTTTAAGTTTCAATGAAAAGGCTGTATCTAGATGTCTAATGTCCATAAGATAAACTGATTAATTTAGGAATACATGGCATTGTGTATTAGTTATTTTTGGTTTATTTATTCCAATATGATTTATTACTATTATTACTGTATTTAAAAATAAAATTGGTTTATAGATTAAACTATAATAGGAAAAAGATGCATTTTATAAACCATTTAAGTTAAAAGTTTATTATAAAAATAATGATATTTTTAGTGGAATACCACACTCGGTTTTATGATAGGCCGATATATAGGTATATATATATTTATATTTCTTGTAACCAACACGAGTAATCACTGGTAGGTTCAATAAGCTCATAATACAGAATGACCGTAATTCGCTCGGTCTCACCACAAAAGTTCATTGTTTCATGACCATCGCCTATAAATCTTTACATAGTTACAGCCCAGTAAATGTTTTAAATGATTTATAATGTGATGCAGCGCGCTGCTAAAAGCCTCACGCCGCGGAATGCAATATGATATACTTTTAAATTACAGTAGGTAAGTATTTACATATTTTAATTAGAATTTTAATTTTATTTATGAGTTTTTATCCGCCACTTTGTCTAAATAACTGAGATATATTGATTGGCCAAAACGAAACCTAGCTTATATCCTTTTAAAACCCAGTGCTTTACCAATGTCGTTAAATGTGTACGTAAAAAGTGAGGATTGGTTAAGTGATTAAAGCACTAAGAGGTAACAAATATATTAACTTTTATATTTATAAAATTAGGTATAATAAAGATATAAAAAAAATACAAATCTAATTTTGGTCTTAAATAAAATGGTGCTTGTAAAATAGAACTTAGATACGAACTCTTTTTTTTTTGTAATTTAATCTCCACTTAAAATTTATTAAATCTAAAATTAGTGGTTCCTATATAATAATAATATTACATTCAATTTCAATAGTCAATCGTTAAATTTTCATTAACTTTTAATAAAAAAAAACTACTTAAGTGCAAAAATGCCAGTATGTAAGTAGAACCAAACAATTGTTAAAATTGAATCTAATCATTACTTAAAATCAACTGCAGTACAAAAGTATATAATAAAATATAATATAAAATTAAATTAATTTTAATTATATCAAATTACATTTAATGATAATATTTTATTCTTAAATCTATAAACGGAATATGTGAGATCGTAAAATGCCCATAAACATTCGCCACTGTAGAAATCTTAAGAGGCCATGGACTATAATTATTACGTACGTGATGAAACTCAAGTGAGATCTTTCTTGCATTTCAATTTATCCACAACTAACTGTTTACTTCGACTTCGTCTGCTTGCGCTCTTTACTTCTCTTTCCAATGAGAATTTATTTTATACAACTTAGAATGGCAAACAAGCTGACGGCCCATCTCATGGGAAGTGGTAACCGTCGCCAATAGAGATGAGCAGTACCATGGACATAACAGAGTATACTGTTTCGCCCACAATACCCCCCATGCGTTGCCATTCCTGAGCACTCAGGTGTTATTTCTCTGTACCCAGTAAATTCACACCATATCCCACCCTTCAAACCGAAACACAACCTTGCTTCACGGTTGAAACACGAATGGGACAGAGGTACCCAAGCAATCGACTTTTGAACAAAGTCTCCCTCTGGTAGAGAATTTTTAAAAATTCTTAATATGAAGTCGTATATATATTATAAAAGATATGACGACCGATCCGAGAAGTTCGATTCTCGGATGATCGTATTGATAAAATGGACTTTTCTAAATCCACTAGACTCTAAAGGATTAACGTATGCTAACTAATGGAGGTAACATTATTGTATTTAAGATTATTTTCCGGGTAGAGGGGTGGGGGGATAGACCCCTTATAATAGCGCAGATATATTTTCAGATATGTCTTTGCGAAGCTTTGTTCACAACTTCGGGTGGGCACCAGTCAATTCTAGAGTGAGCATGGTCCACCCAGCTCACTTTCTATATACTTCTATGAGTTATTCTAGAAGACATCATGTTTCTAATTTGTAATTCAGCATGACATGACATAATATAGCAAGATTTTACTATTATATTTATATATTTTTATATTATACATATTTTATTAGATAGATACACACTAATACTTAAATAATGAATAATAATAATAAGAAAATACGTACTTATCGTGATACACTATTTCGAAAGTGAAAAAAGTGTTGTCCTCCTCTCTCCTACTTGCTGTGCCCAACAGGGTCCATAATTGAAACCTTATGTAATAATTATGTATTATGTATTAATTAATTATTATGGAAAGCAATAAATAAATAAATAAAATAAATAAATATTATTATACATTATTATATTATATGAAAGCATAATGTGTACAATTGTATGGAAATACCTTATATTATATTAATAGAGTGTCTCTATGCTTCGAAAAAAGCGGGTTAAATTTTTCATACAATTTTGCGTGATAAATAGTTATGAGTGGTTCCTTTATAACTTCTATATTTACTTATTAACTTATAATTTCTGCGTAAATACTCATTTTATTTATTAAATAATACGTCAAGATACATTGTATGCGTAAGAGTATATAACACTAACATAAAAAACGACTATTTAAAACAGCTAATTTGGTATTTAGCGGATATAAAGTTTACCTGTTTTTGAGATTCGATGCTCTATTTATATAATCTAAGGAAAACACATACATATAGACTATTTTCTCCTTTTTAAAGTTTCTTTAAAATCCTTGCTATAATTAAATAAACAAAATATTATTTGTTTGTTGAATTATATCGCCTTAACAGCTCAAGCAGTCACTATGAAGTTTGGTATACAAATACTAGATTAGAAAAGGATGTAAGCTATTTGTTAATCCGATCATTAAACATGTTCTGGTAACGCGAACGAAGCCACGTGGAAAAACTAGTAAAATATAAGTATAAAAGAAAATATCAATTTCGTAACAATAGTTTCCTTATTCCTTTGTATTAAATAAAAAAAAACAGTACATATTTACCGTCAGTATATAAAGAAACGGTTGCCCGCGTTATAAATCTGATATGGGAAAACAAAAGGCGTTTTGTGAAATACGAACTAAATGGGCCTGTCACAAAAACGAATCATTATTTGTTGCGAACAAAATATTGGCAGTAGAGTTTTTTTTTTTTTTAATGTAAAGAAACTAATAAGTTCACTTAAGCTCTTTTAACTTAAGATTTTCAAAGTAAGTAGTAGTAAGTATGAAACTTATCGTAGAATAAGACTTAATATTTAGTTTCATGATGTCTAGTAGAAGAAATATCATCCTTATTATCTTATCTACATTAGTTCTAAGTTCACTTCTCCAACACTCAGCTGTTGGGGGGGAAAGGGATTGTTAGTAATGAAGACTGAGAATCCCATTACTAGCAATATACCCAACCAGGTCGACCTCCTCGCGGTTCCCCCTGGAAACTATCATGGTTAATTCCTGATGAATTCATCATGATGGGCTAACTGGCCTGTTTTCATTCTCATCTATCACCCTTCACTTGTGCTCCGCCAGCGTATCCCGTTAGCGTCTACATATTTCTTTCGGCATAATGAAAAACTACTACACGAAATTGTATGCAGTTTTCGCAGTTATATTTCTAAACATCTATTTTAAAATCTACTATACTTTATCTCGCCAAGTTATCTTAAAATATTATATTTAATAAGTTTTCTTACTTCTGAGATCCACAAGTACAAAGCAACGAGCAAAAAGCTAATTATTGAATAGAAATGTAAAGTTATAACTTTTTATAAATATTTTACATTTCCATTCGTTGCTGGCATTAAAAAAAATATTAAGTTTATTTGTAACTTGTTAATGCTTTAACAGCACTACTTATTCTCATAAAATTTAATGTACGCGTATTATTTGAGATGCATGAAGCTTAACCTTACCGTGTTGTTTTTTTTTTATCGGCTAACAAGCTGACGGCCCACCTGATGGAAAGTGGTAACCGTCGCCTATAGACGTGAGCAGTACCAAGAACATAACAGAGTATACTGTTTCGCCCATGATATCCCCCATGCGTTGCCATTCCTGAGGACTCAGGTGTTATTCCTCTGTACCCTGTAAATTCACGCCATATCCCACTCTTCAAATCGAAACACAGCTAGCAAACACAACTGCTTTACGGTTGAAGCACATATGGGACAGAGGTACGCAAGCAAACGACTTTTATACAAAGTCTCCCTCTGGTAAAACCAAAGTGATAAAAGTCTGATAAAAACTAAGTGGTAAATAAAGAAAGAAAACGGAATACAATTTCGGTGATAATGTAAAATAAACACCCTCCTTACACCCCAATCACTGTACATAACTAAAGTTTAGACTAGCGTTATCATAATGTA